GGTTCAGTAATTTGCGAAATACCTAAATATCGTTAAATATATTTTTTAAAAAACCCTGACCGGACTCTGGACTAAACAAGGTGGACGTTCAACTAAAAAGTTAGAAGGGACGCTGTTTCCGTGAACGCTTTCTTAAAAAATAGAATCACTTTTTCTTTTTGTTGCCGTTTTTGTGTTGTGGTCCTTTTCCCACACCCTCCCCCCAAGTCAATTAACCACAGTGGTGAGACGGGCTCTCTCTCTCCGCCGTCACAGCGCGGCGTGCCGGAGTTTTACTTCCCACATCACACCAGCCCCGAAGTAACCGAACCCAAGGGGAGGCGGAAGGGTGCCGTCTCCCCGCCACGTGGAAAAGAGTTGTGTCACCACTGTGCCGCCGGGGGCAGCCGCAAACCAGGAGTCTCTTGGTCAATGCCAGTACGCGGTTGGAAAGCCTGCCGTGTCCTAACGCAGGAGTCCACGGGAAGCCGCCAACAGGATCAGTCCAGAGGAGCAATTATGTCCGTCCAAGTTATCAGTCAATGTACTGCGATAGCCAGCGGAAGCCTTCGCCGTAGCCTTGCCTCTTCAGCACGCTGCACATGAACACCTCCATGGGACGCGCGTTCAAGTCTTTCAGTGGCACGTTTCCCTGGGGAAATCCAAAGAGAAGTCAGGAGCGGCATCCCCGCCGCCCTCCGGGAAGCAGCCCAGATGAGGGAAACCCCTCTCGGCCGGCCCCTTGGCGGGAGAGCCCTGCCCACGGGACTTGCATGGGGTGGGAGAACGGGCGTCGGAAACAGGGAAGGAAACCACGTTGGAGGCACGCAGAGTTCCTGGGATACTCAGCAGCGCGATGCCGCGCAGGTCAGCAAGCGCCGAGAGCAGCCTGGCGGGTGTTTTACTGCCGTCGCCCGGAGTTTCCGACCAATTCCCACCACCCCGGTTTTAAACACCGAAAACAGGTTTACAACGGGTAAGCGGACGGAAACGCAGAGTAACGAAACCAGACGGTGGGTTGAAATACCAACACCTAACTCCCTGGTGTAGGGGTACCGGGTGCGGCACGATTCCGGCGGTTTCGAAACTCGCCCCAGGGCCTTACTGACGTTACTATCAAGGACTCAGCTCGGTCCATACCGCGGACAAGCCAACGGGAACCCCTCCGCTAAGTGCCTAGAGGGGCACCTCTGCCTGCAACACCACACGCAAGCCCTCCCTTGCTCGCGGCCCATCCGAGATTTGGATCCCTTCCCACCTTTCCCGTGGTCTGTCCGTAGAGCCCAAAGATCTCCCGCAGTTTCTCCTCGCTGATGGCCTCCGGCCTGTCGATTTTGTTACCCAAGATAAGGATTGGCACGTTGGATATCGTTTCATCCGTCATTAGCGCCTGCGTGAGGGCGGAAGAAGGGGGAAAGAAACATCATTTGAAGAAGAACTTTTTGCTGAAGCTCCAGCACCAACCAAAGGTGTTTTGGTGCTACAGTGCTCCTGCAGGAAGAGGAGTCTCTGGAAAGGTTTCTCGGAAGATGCTCCTATCTAAACCCCACGGGCCGTTTCGAAACTGCTCCAAAGGTGGCTCAAGAGCCCAGGGTCCCACCCCCAGTAAGGGCATGCCGGCCTCTTCTGGGCCGGAACCAAAACCGGCACAGCTGTGCACAGCTCCAGCCCAGGAAAGAACAACGCAACTTACAATTCCGCTATTCAGGGGTCTCGGGCGAGGGAAGAAAAAAAAAACCCCCAAACCCGGTATATTTACATTAAGCTCAACTTTGGATTCCATAAGACGTGAGTGATCCGCGCAGTCCACCAGGAAGACGATCCCGTTGATGGCTGGCAGGTAATTCTTCCACACCCGGCGAGCTGGAACGCAGAAGCGACAACCCGTGAAAACACCCTGCGAGAAGGCGACCTGAAAAAACTTACACCCGAAAGCGGGAGCCACCCTCTTCGTTCCCGTTTCCCCAGGGAACTTCCAGTGAAGGGACTGGCTGAGGCCACGAGCCAGGGAAGCCGGCAGAGCCAACGCGTTCTCTGCGCTCCGAAGCAAGCCGGGGCGGCCAAGGCTGCCGTTTTAGCCACGGCATCTTCCTTTCACTATGTTTGTGTATTAAAAAAAATGGAAAAAGGCAGAAAAAGTTCTGGAAAGCCTGAAAATAAAAAATGCAGCAATCCCTCAAAAGAATCAGCCCAGGACATTCACGTCTTCCACGGCTAAAAAGTATTTCAGAGCACGAACTGGCAGGATTTGATTCCCAAGTGCCAGAACTCAGCGGAAGTACTGAACCACCAAAGCGACCCGTATCCTACAAGCCGGGAGGTTATTTCCACGTTATCGCTCCATAAAGAATTCCACGCCACAAAGAATTAGGTGCTGCACATCGCTGTCGTTTCTCAGCATCTCTTTTTTTTTTTTCTAAAGGCGGCTGGAAAACATGGTGGAAATGGTAAGACTGACCTCGCTGGGTGCCTCCCGCCCGGCAACCTCCCTTCTTACCTTGTTCGTGTCCACCCAGATCAAAAGTCGTGAAGGTCATGCCAGCAATCGTCAGCTCCTCTGATGCTGGAAAGGAAAAATACAGTTGAGGAAGATGAAGCAGCTGTCACGGCCGGAATTTCTGGGGGACTCATGCTAAAGCCACACATGTTCCTCGTGTAAGAGAGCCCGTAGAATTCGGGAATTCCCTGAACTTCCTGTAGAATTCAGTCACCGAAACGGGAGTTGTTTCACAAAATCACGAGCTGGAGGACACAATTTCCCTCCTACAATCCCACTTCAGCACGTGCTTGTTAGAACTGCGTCTGGGGTTGCACTGCACGTGGGTTGCCTGAGCTGAAGGGGACTCAAGGCCAGGCTGGATGAGGCTTGGAGCAACCTGGTCTAGTGGAAGGTGTCCCTGCCCATGGCAGGGGGGTTGGAACTGGATGGGCTTTAAGGTCCCTACCATTCCAACCCATTCTGGGATTCAAGGCCAGGCTGGACGAGGATTAGCGTTTTCCTCTCAGCTATAAAGAGGGAGAGCCCGGGAACTGGCGTGGTTTAATTAACACGGGGGCGCGGGGCTCTGATGAAAAGCTTCATGAAGTACAGTAACTGCAGATTACGGCTGTTGCCCCAATGCAGAGCTATTGCCGAGGCATCTTTTGAGACCCCGATTCCAAAATTCCAGAGGAAAAGCCACCCCGGGAGGTGGGCAGGGCTCAGTCGCCGGCACTTACTGGGATGTAGCGTCGGGACGTGCTGACCCAGCCTGTCGTCTTTGAGCATGTGGAGCAGAGTGGTTTTGCCTGCGTTATCCAAGCCCAGGAACACAAGTTTTCCAGATTTCTTGTACAAACCTGGAAGGGAAACAAGAGGAGGAAGGAAAAACTCCAGCAGGCTTATCCCATGAGCAGAAAGGCTGCGACGCTTGCCGCTGTTTATATCCCACCCCTCTCCCAGAGCTGTGCCGCCACCGTGCCTTTACAGCCCCTCCAGCACGGAGCCAAGGCAACGCACGGTAGTGCCTGCAACAACGGGCCTTTTCCAAGCCTGTGTCCCTAGGAGTAACGCATTCCTGTTCCCAGATACGTCCTGGCAGGAGAGCACTGCCTTTGCGCAACGGGTTACGGGATCAACCCGTCACCCAAAAGGGGTCTGGAGATGCGAAAAGCGAACGAACCCGTAAAACGCAGCAGCGAATCGTTGAAAACAAAGTGGCAAAGCATGAAACAGCACGTCATTTTCTTCAGATTAAAGCTCTTCCCGCTTCCAGGTTTCCAAGAGGAGTTTTTCTCATCCCTCCCTACCCCTGCGAGGCACTCTGGAGAGAATGCAGCCCACTGGAACTCACGCCTCCGGCAGGAGGAGCCTCGCCATCTCCCAGCCCTCAGGACAGCGCTGCT